GTCCAAATAATCTTCAGAGTGCCTTATTTGTATCATCGCCAAATTCCTCTTCGAGAACTCTCAGTCGTAACATTTATAAGCTAGTCATTCGTAAATTTACAGTAATTCATTGTTTTCTCATGGCTCGAGAAAGAGCAAATCGTATTACTAGTCGAAGAATCGAAACCTTTCTTAATAACGGTCCAAGCGCGACCAATTTAACACGCTGCAGTATATCCATTGACTGATAACAGAATGTTTTTTATCAACATTTTAGAAAAGTTATATTGTACAAACTCATATGAGTACGTGTATTAAAAAACGCATAACCTTTTTCAAATCTAGTGTTCTATTTGGTTGAGTAATAATTTTTTTTTTCGTTCAAATCCTTGAAAAAAAAAAGTAGCACAAACTTATACCTCAACTTATGAAATAGGCTATTTAAATATACCTTTTGTTTGTAGAAGAAAAATGTTTTAAGCGATACTTTATGTTCACATTTCCTCAATTATAGGGTCTTCTTTTAAAATGATTGATTTTTATACTCCTATAAAAATTGTGAAGCTGGTAAAGATGAAATCAAGAACTAAATATTTGACAAACCGCTCATAAAGGCAACAGAAAGTATTTCAGTAATATACGTAGTGCAACATTGTAACCGAACGAGTCCTATTTTATAAAGTGGACATTACTTTAGTACTTCGAGTCAAGATATATCCTCCGAAAATTTAAATACAATTATCAATCGTAAAATCATCTTAATGTACGCCGTTACTTTTATATAAACAGAAAAATGACATTTAAAAAAAAGACGGTAACGGTTTTTAAGTTACAGAAAATAATCTCGAAAACATTTGACCCTTGTCACTTCGAAGTTACATGTATGCCTGAAATATTTCCTTCAATTTCTGAAAATGGAAACGGATTTGTCTTACGTCCTTGATTCCTCTTTACGTCCTTGACATATAATGAACTTTTTACGTATATTGTAAAAAGCAACCCATTATGCTTAAAAACGTTTAATTCAATCTTATCAAGTCCTATTATGAAATTAGAATCGGTTCAGGTGTTTATACATGCGACGAAACCAATACCAATTGATTCTCTATTTTTAATTTAACATCATTACCTATACAAATGATTTTCTCGTAGATACGGTACATCTCGTACATGCAACATATTTTCTCGTACATACAGGGTACAGCATCGTTTAAATATTACTTCATATAATAATAATAATTAATAAGGTGTATACCATTGTATTGTTCATTAACAGGTGTGAATTTTTTTTAGGTTTCAATTCTTCGACCAAGACGTACAAATCTGTACAGATACATCAGGTATCGTTGTACAATTCGATGATGAAATCATACGCCGAATTTCCTCAAGGTCAATGTTTTGTGTTGATAAATATGCACATGATTGCTATGGCTGCCAATAACTCCCGATCGGTAGATTCCTACCGCGGTAACTTTAGACACATTACGGTAAATTGAAGCATTAATTCGTCGCACTCAATAATTGATTCTATGCATAAATAATAATAATAATAATAATCATAATAATACCATGAGATACGACCGTTGAAGATATAATGATAATGAAATTAAATAAGACCTGCCTCAAAGTGGCTACTTACAACTATGAGTGGCTAAGATAGTAATCATTAAGTATCGCTCACAGTCCTTTGATTGTTGTTTAATTACACACTGCGAGGCTCTATAATACATGTGAGTATGACGCGCTCTTTCTCTCTGTTTCTCTCTAAAAAATAATGTTAGAAACACTGAGCATTATTGGCTAAGCACTTTGCTAAGTCCACACTAAAACACATTGTGTTATTAGAAAACTAATTATTCTTCATTGGTTTGAAATACTGGTTCAATAATAGATCTGTATAAAACCTTTGTCAACTGGAACAATTATTTGAACAATGATTTGTAGCATACGAGTATTCGGAAAGAATGCCGAATACAGGTGATTATTTGGGCATTGAAGTCTGAGGTCGAGGTTTCTTTCAATCCGCATGGCTTGACGTCGATACCAATGTAATCGCGATACTTTCGTAACCTTTCCCAATGCCGCAAATATTACCGGCTGTAAATTAATAGTAACTCAATTGACATCGGACGTGAATATAAATAAGAGGAAGGACGTTGAATTTATAAGATTAGGGTGACCGAAGTTCGAATTAATGATAATGAAAATAATAACGATCTTTAATAATGACGTCGACTAATACTTACTACCAGGAAACTCGGTAGAGTTTCGCGCCAAATATATATAAACATACTGAAAAGGCAATTTTCGTCACATTCTTATAGTCGCGAGGTACTATTCCAAAAATAATATTATCACTTAAAATCATGGGACTATGAAAATCTACAGTTTTCTAATTTCATCTAACCAAATAAAACTTAAAAGTAAATCTGATCAAATAAAAAAAATTAAAAACTCAATTTGAAAACATTTTAATTTTCTTTTTTATTTGATCAGATTTAGTTTTCAGTTTTACTTGGTTAGATGAAAATAGAAGACTGTACATTTTCATAGACACATGATTTTAAGTGATATTATTTTTGAAATAGATGTACTTGTATCATGTCGAACAAAATGTACAATAATTTGGCAATAACATCTGATTTGAGTATTTAATAAGAGAAAAGTACTAACATATTTGGCAACAATAGTTGAAAGACATTTTTTATTTATAAGAATAAAAGTTTGAATTATTTTTGCAATTCAAGAAAGAAACAAGAATATATTTGGCAAGGTTCATTTACACCTAAGGTGTCTTTTGAGGAGTTCTTTTAGTCGCGAGGGATGGTTTATCCCAGTTCAGCTTTAAAATAGTTTAAGAAAACCGAGTCGAGATAGTAAGTGATCAGAATTTGTAAATGGTTCAGAGAGATGAGTCAAAAGGAAAAAGTGCGGCAAGCGAAAGTTTCCAAAATATCAGGATTAGTCGTTTCCAGTGAGAAGTAGGAAACCTTAAATCGTCAATTACAATCTCTAAAAATCAGATCTTGTAATTCCCGATTTATTTCGGGGCTCTCTAAATGAACATCCCAAATTTTCCTATTCTTTCTTTTGTTAGGAACAAAAATTGTCTGAACAAGCATGAAATAAGTTGTACGTCTAAAAATGTATTAAAGCAAGATAAGAAGGACGTTTTGGTTGCTTTAGGAAGAACACAGGACGCCATGCGCGAATAAGCCAATGCTCGTAATAGGACATCTGATCACCTTGTAATAGTGAATTTTCATCCCTCCCTAGTTTTTCTTTTTTAAACCCAAATATGTACCAATCCATTACAATACCAGATAAAAACAAAATGCTAAACAGAATCTAGTGATAAAAGAATTCTTTATAGTAATGTTCATTGATTTCTCTAAAGCCAGTGGTTCTTAACCTTTTTGAAGTCATGGAATACTTTTGATTATTCGGAAAATTTTGACGATGCCCTACTTTTTGGCTTTTCCAGGCGACATACAAAATAATATAGAATGCATAATATAGTTGATGTATGTAACAAATTCCCTTTTTTTTATTTGTCAAGTCGCACAATCGTATGCATTATGGGCAATATGATAAATCAGACATTGTACACAATGCTTATTTACTTGGCCAATGAGATATATATACCCAAAAATATATGCGCACTAAGTGTAAGAAATTCCTGGACTACTAGCGGTCCCTGGAGGATCGGTTAAGAACTACTGCTCTAAAAGTATAAAACATCAAAAACTTTCATGAGTATATTGATTTTAAAAATGATAAATGTCCGCATATTGTTTAAAAATCCAAAGTGCTGGATGAACTACTGTGCAAAAGACTGTAATCCTATTAAATAAATTAGCATTCTAATTTTTCATCTGCAAAAGTATGAAAATTAATGATAGGTACCATGGTAGGCCAACATTGCCCAGTGCTAAAATCTGTACGTCACTTCGAAGATGTTCGAGTACTCAACTTGCAGGAAATGTTTAATGTTCTTGATATAACGGTAGCAAATGCATGTAGTTCCTTGACAATTTACGCTTTGGGAGATAGGAGTAGACTTTGCTACAATTCTTGAAAACTCGTAGTAGCTGATCGTACATATTTGCGTTAAAAAGAAAACTAAACTAAAGGTTTAAAAACGGACAAGTTTCCCCTCAAATTCACCGATGACAAATTTTCCGATCGTAACAGACGGATGGAACGTGAAAATTCATGTTAATGTAAAAACTATAGGCGGCCATCAACTCAAGCCAAACGGTATGTTCTTTTCTATAAAATCCTGTAACTTTGTACTTGGCACTCTCTCTCGTTTTGTTATCTACGTTTATTTACTGTCGTTCATGTTGCTCGATTATTGCATCGTGTGGAAAAATATGACTTTGTTGAAACGCTATTTAACAAAGGCAATACACCATAGACCACCTTATGTAATGCTACTGTTGCCAACAACTATTGACAACTTTTTGAAAGGGGCAACTTCCTTAAGGACGATAACGGTAGCTCCTCGTGTTACGCAGGGAAACCGAAACATCTTTCCCATTTTGTACCCTAGTAAGTAAAAAGCATTATACTACATACATCACGATTTCCTGCTTCTGACTATATCTCGTACCAGAGATGAGCGGGGAGATGTTTTACGCCATTATTTGAAAGGGAGGCACGGCCCCCTGGCGCCCTCTGCGCCCTTTACCCTTTTGTAAAAATTGGAACTACTTTCAAAGGGGCGAAATCTTCATGATCGGTAAAACAGGGTATAAGTGGATGCTGCATCGTAATCACAATCATCCGTATGTAATCAACATAATAACTTTATTTGGTATTCGTAGTCTTCTTTCCCAACCTACTTTGACCCTGATACTAAAAACGAAAAGGCGATGACTTCATTCTATCGATACTGTGCTGTATTTGAAATCTGCTGACGCGATTTTTTTTACCGATTGATAAAATTTCGCTCCTTTGAAAGCAGTTCCACGGCGCTAAGGAGCCGTGCCTCCCTTTCGACAATGGCGTGAAACATCTCCCCGCTCATCTCTGCTCGTATCATACCTGTCTTGGCTTACGTGAAATTCTGAACAAATCCAGCTCCACTGCTGTGTGTCATTAAAGTGTACAGGGTATGAATTAATACGGATAGCAAGAACTTACTTTCCTTAATAAAATTTTCTAGAAAAATATTCATCGTAACTGGAAGCTAAGTGCCATTTCCTAAGTTATCGTTCAATTGCAAGGGACGATTATTTGCCCACTGTAAAATCGAGGTATCAACGTCGACAGCGAGATAACCCGCCTTGCCAAGTGATATTTCAGGCTAAGAAACATGAACACTATACTTTGTAAAGTAACGCGTCAAAATTAATATACAGACAATCGTTTGTCGACATTTTATGGGTATACATTTGCAATTCATAAGCATAATAACTGACGATTATTAAATGAAAAGAGATTCTTCCAAACAGATTAAGTGATAGACATTTAATGATTTTTTTTCCTATTGGATCAAAGAGCTACATAAATAAACAAAAGCAATTAGATAATCGTGGTTTAAGCGGTCAGTCGCTTCAATTGAATCGGTATTTGGTGAAAAATTGTAATATGGTTAAAAAAGAAACGTGAATTAATTGTTTTTGATCACAGCATAAAGAAATCAATATCGTGCAACCGGTTTTCTGATACGAGTCTCTTAACATGATCCGGGCAAAATAATTAAATACTGAGATATGAAATAAATTATTTGGTAAATGCAAATACGATTACTCATCGAAGGAGTGAAGTAATAAATGCAATATTTTGTCTAATATTATACATGTGATGTATGTAACCGATCAGTACGGAGTACGTCCTCAAAGTGCTTACGAAGTCGCTCAGCGCTGCCAATAGTGAAGTTAGTACTTATTCTTTTGTGATCACCAATTTAATCATGAACTTGTTCAATGTATGCATACGTGACATTGACAGGACCAAAACAACGTTCGACCGCCCCGTGCAGACCAAAGAAAAACTTAAGAGTATAATAATGAAAGTTAGCGAATGTTTCATTTGTTAGTGGAAATCCATATAATTTAAGACTTTCAAGAGCACCATCATTTTGTTTTCAACTTACGCATACTTACTATAAATAACGAGTACTTGTGTCAAACAAGAAATTAAGTTGTTGGATTTTTTGATGCAACACTGAATTTTTCCGTTTCATTATATATAATTAAGGAAGCGTGGCACAATTCAATTAAAGCATAGTTTCGTGCAATACTGATTACCCGATGCTGTGTCTGAATAACAGTATATGAACTTTATATGTACACGGGTGGGGATGTTCGAGACTTAGGTCACATCTATCATGAACAAATATATATGCAGCGTAAATGTTTTGGTAAATCGGTTTACATCATTAACTTAAATCTTGCAAGTGTGACGTTTTCTTCGAGAGAGACATCGGAGCACTATCTGGTATCTGAAACTGGTGAAGCTACGAATTGGTAACTCAGGGTGAGTTGATCAAACCATTGAAAATAATCGGCCCGAAACAGCTTAAACGCATCGACACTCAATTGTTACGGTTTCAACTGAGGTCTGGAAGTATAGAACTCACTAATTTTTGCACAAGACTACGGTAAGCTGGAATTTAGGCTTTCAGGCAGGCGATAATTCATCATGTGAAATGGCGGGCTTGCAGGACTGTCTGGTTGACCGGATACGTTGACGTTGCTCGATCCACGTCCACGTTTTCGCCTCTGCAAGATCCCTTTTCGAACCATGTAGAATCGTATTGTACTGATTGGGATTTTATATTTTTCTGATGCCACTTGAAACGTCATGCCGCGCGCCACCATATCCGAAGCCTGCTTCAACTCTTGCTCCGAACGCCGTTGTCGTCTTTGATATCCTAAAACACAAAGTTATTTTATGAGGTACAATGTGATTACACTGTACATATTGTCCATGTATTTAAACATTTTGGTGCTGAAATAATTTTCCCCTCCGGATAGCTACCGAGTGCTACCGAGTGTCTGAGTGTGTGGCGCGCCCCATGTTGAGCTGTGCTCCGTGAGTTCAGGTAATCGCGCCCCGATCCGGCGGTAGGCAGCGTGTTTTGTGTCGAGTCTATCTCCACTGGAGCGTCGATAGCCCATCCGCGTTAATTATTAGTATAAACTTAATCTTTTATAATCGCTCGAGTCAAGGCCCACGGAAACTCGAGGTCCTTCCCACGTGTACCGAAGGACCCGAGCCATCCTCGAAAGGGGGGCAATAAAACTTGAGTCCGAGCATTCTCAAAGGGTCTCTTTTCGAGGGTTTTCGCCGAAGGTACGAGACGACGTCTGGTGAACAGATTTTTTAACTTTCTAAAAATTCCGAAGCCCGCTTCTGGCGACCAAACGTCACTCGAGGGTTTTTTCCGCGAATCCGCGGCCTACGTGACCGGCCGTTTCGCGGGTGCCTTCGAGGGCGGAAACCCTTCGGGAATTTTTCCCTGCCAATGAGAATGCTCGACTCAAGGTCCGACTTCCTCCCTCCACCGAGTTGGAGGGAGAACTCCGCATTCGGATACTTTTTAAGAATTTTGTAAAAATCAGATACCAACCGAAAGTTGCCGAGACAACATCGGATCTCAAAAACGTTGCCGAGTCAACGTCCAAAAAGTCCAGTTGCCGAGTCAACTGAGAACTTGATCATTTCGTTGCCGAGTCAACGCAAACCGAAAGACCAGTTGCCGAGTCAACTGAGCAACGTCGTAAAATCACGCATCTTCCCTTGTCCGTAAAGGAAATATAGTCTATTGTGTTACTAAAATCCGGAATATTTTCATTCAAAACGCGAAACCAGCTGCTGGCGGTTAATTCCCCCTTCAGCAAAACACTATTCGAGCCCGTCTTCCCCAGCCCGAGGATTTACGACCCTCGGGGTTTGACTGACAATCACGAGCTGGTTTAGTGTCGCAGAACATCCACGTTCATGTGTCCGCATCCAAATCCGGTGGCTGAGCGATGCCGAATCGGTTTGGGGGTTTCGTTAGCCGGGTGGAGTCGATACGGGGTAGGCATAGTCCAGGATACTCGGTTCACGGGACCGGTACTGGTGGGTGCCTCGGTGTGTGGCGCACCCCATGGGTTCGCGTATCCGTGCCCCGGTCCAGCCGTATGTGGCGTGTTCGGTGAGAGTCTAACTCCACGTTCATGTGTCCGTGTCCGGTTTTCGTGGGTGTGAAGCCGAGTCGGGGATGGATCTTGCCCCGATCATGCCGGTCCGGGGGCTGAGAGCCTTCCTGCGTGCGGGGGCATTCTGTGTGCCGAAAGGTCTCTATATCGAGAGTGGAGGTTGGATAGCTGAGGAATCACCCGCGGGCGGAGGTCCTATGCCGAGGGGTCTCTGAAGTGGGATGCGGGACTGTGTGCCGGAGGTCTCCGAAGTGAGACGAGTGGCTGAGTACCGGAGATGTCTCGTAAGTGAGATGGGCTGGCTGATTGTCGGAGGTGTTTCATAAGTGAGACGGATTGGCTGAGTGCCGGCGGGTCTCATGCGAGACAGGCATCCCGACAGGTATCCCATGCCTAACCCGGGCTGATGGCCCTGACGAACCTTATTACCGAAGCATGATCATGAATATCTCATGGATTAACCGAAGCATGATCATGGATATCTCATGGAGAACTGCAAGAAGAACGAGACCAGGTAGCCGATCAATCATCGACGAGGGTGAAAACAACAAGAAATAAATGACGTGAACATTGTCATGCGCAAACTTGTACAGGAGATTGAAAAGATGCCGAAAATCTGTTCACAAGGTGGTGGTCTAGCCACCAAGATCAAAAACTATGTCGTCACTATGCAATCGATGAATCACACGGGGTACCTGCACAACCCCGATTGGGCTCAGCGGATTTTAGAGAAATTATCAGCCCCAATGATACATCTGTTCAATAGATTCCTGTGTAACGATGTGTTCGGCGAGAGACCAAGAATAGTGAGCCCGTGTTGCTTCTTAATACAGGAAGCCGAGATGACTTGCAAAGCTGGGATCACTTCTTTAACCCAACGCTGGAGCGAACAACCTGAACAGGTAATAAAGTCAGCTAGCAAATGTTGTGGACGATAACAGAGAAAAAAATCTGACGCAATCCTAACCGTAGTCGAAAAGGTTTGGCTAGAAAACCCGGGACCTAGCGGTAACAGTCCGCACTACACAGGATAAAGGGAAGTGTGGATATTGTAGAAACACGCAACATGTCATACCAGTTTGCAGCAAATTCCAAGTCTTGACGGTCGACCAACGTTGAAATTGGGTCAAAAAAGGCTGTATGCTTTCGATGTCTACTGGAAAAGTGCAAACGTTTTAAGTGTCGTGTTTCCAAATGTAAGAACTAGGGGTGCGGAAGAACGCATCACCCGTTACTACAATCACTTCCACGGAGGGTCGAGTTCTCTGGGCCAGCCAGTCCGGGACCGTCGGTGGGGTCGAGTGGGAATTCGACAAACCAGGAGGTGACGCTGAATGCCAGATCAAAGAATGTGGGACATGTACTGCTAAAGAGAGGAGAGGAACCGATGGACCGCGAGATCCAGTGGTCATACAAGGAACAGGCAACGTGAGCTCCCAGGATCTCAACTGCCAACGGGTGGTCTTTTACATAACCTCGGCAAGGGGTGGAATGGCAAAACTCCATGCACCACATCACAAACGTACGAACTGTGCGAAACATGGCGCTGCCCATTCAATCTCTGCGACAAGGAGACGTAGTAGGTTATGGTCGCCGACTAACTCTCAATCGAAACAGATACCCACACGCTGGACAAACATATCGTGAAAAGGATGCTGGGATTCCGGTGGAATTCGATCCGGGACATGGTGGCCTTTGACACGAGCATAAAGCGCATCTCGACCGAAATAAAAAATAGTACGCAGCGCTCCACGAAACGCGACATATTGCGGTTGATTGTCCGTCTTCGATCCACAAGACTTTTTAAGAGCATTCCCCATATGCGGACAGGTCCTCCTGCAAGACGTCTGGTGAAGCGGCATATCTTGGGATGACTCTCTTAAGGTGAAGTGAAACACGTCGAGGAACTTGATCGACGTCGATAAAGAAGACTTTTCTAAATGCCTACGTTGCCGATGTTCGTTTTTATATTGACAGCTGTGTCGAATTATATTGGGTATTGTACCAAATGGCATACTCCACATGTCGTTTTCGTACAATAATTATAAAGAAATCGAAGTAAAACTCTAGAAATCCTCTGGATTCATGCTTTCTGGGGCCCTAATTGATTGCAGAGGAACTCCCTGCGCCATCTGTGATTTCCAGGTCAATTAAATATTCACTCCGAGACTTCGTATTATCATCGTTTTGGCATAGAAGCGCATACAACACTTATTTAGCTTTTATCCCGTTCAAATGCGAGTTTATCGATTACCAGAGTGTTCTAAAGTGTCGTAAAATTGTCCTGACCCTTTCGATTCTCATACCAGAGCCTTCGATAATTGTATATTGATCGAAATATGAGAGCTCGACGCCATTTTGGTTCTGGTCTGGGCTGAGTTAAAAAATTTTTTTGAAAAATCCACATTTTGAATGTGTCAGGACAATTCTTAGATGATCAGGAGTGATGTGTCAAAGTTTCGGACAGTTTGGTCCAATACTCTTAAAAAAAAAATGTTGTATTCGAATCGTCTGATTTGAAGTGTGTTTCACTTCACCTTAAGGATCCCGAATATGCTAAGTGGAGGAGATAGCTGGACGAGTTGCGGGGATTGGAACCTTGGAAAATACCCCTATATTATACACAACATAGACAATACGCTGTAGACACTGAGATACACATCTTCTGCGACACCAGTGAAAAGGCAAATGGTAAGTTACTGAAGGTTCCTTTTCATGAGGTAGTTGAGAAAGACTTGTACCTAGCGTACAGATAGCGCTGAAATCCATGCTCAAAGGTAGGGTCCCACGAAAGGTAATATTGGCTACCCGATTAGTCGAAGCAGGACACACAATTAACAGCCGCCTACTTATTCCCGTCTCCGTTGATCACCAAGCGAGGAAATCCTCATGCCCAATCATTTTTTGGTGGGTTCCTCCTCGGGGGGAGCGGTCCCAGGTCGGTTCGGTGAAGTCGATCTGTGCCTCCGCAAAATTGTGGCGTATCGCCCAACGACTGGCTGATCACTATTGGAACAGATGGATAAGGGAATATTTGCCAACCTTACCCCCTAGGAAACGTTTAAACATTGAAAATCCACCGTTAAAGATCGATGATTTGGTATTAACTGTCGACTATACTTTGCCGAGAAACGTGTGGCTAAGAGGAGCCGTTTAGTGTCACAAATTTGGGCAAGGACGGGCAAATCCGGGTTCCTGATATTCGGACGAGGTGTGGGTGTGTGCGTGTGTGTGTGTGTGTGGGGGGGTGATACGGTTGGCTCTAAACTAAGTTGACGCAGATTAGGATCACTTCCGTATCACAGGAGAGAATGTTGCCAACGCCTATGGGGAGAATGGAGAGGAAGCTCCAACGATGGGTGGATAAGATCGTAAGCGACTGCTTATCTGTGGATTGAGATAAAAGGAAAAAAAAAAGGAAAAAAAAACACGGGGCGACTAACGCGACAGACTGGTGTTCAGCAGTCGTACTCAAAGACTCTAGGAGGGTGTTTGAGACCGGAGCGAAGCGTTCAACATGAAGAATGACCGGGACCAGCGAGGTTTGTAAGACCAGGCAGAGGCTGTAGAGTTCGGACCGATTGATGCCATGTGAGAGCCCGGGTGTCCTCAGACCCAGGGGGGATTCAACTGCGTAAGACCGGAAGGTGTTGGGGTTAGCCCCCAACAGAAGTGGCGTGATCGGGAGATTGCAACATTCCGAAATGATCAAGTGACCACATCTCTG